AAAGAAGACTTGGAGCAGCAGAGCTTCCCTACTTCCCTGTCTCCTCAGAAAGACAAGGGAGAACTTTGTGAATGAACATTACCCAGGGTCGGCTCAGAACTGCAAGGTGCCTGGTGATGGAGTTAGCTGGAGCTGTTGGCAGGTGTTGTGTCCATGTCTTTGAATGTGTGCTGGGAGGTCTCGCTTGCAGGTGTGTTGCTGCCACTGACTTGCCTCCTTCTTGCCTCACTTTGCGTTGGGTTGTGCAGGCTGTGTTAGGATTTTCCAACCTGGATGTGTTTTTGGGGAGGCCCGAAAAGCTCTGGAGTACAGTGGGCATGGGTCAAGTCCTGCTGCCTGTGTGTGATGGTGTGCGAGTTGCTGAACTCTCAGGACTTCAGTGTTCTCGATTGTGCTTTGATAATTGCTCAGTGCTGACTCCAACAGAGGAGTGGCTCCCAGAACCCATCCCTGGAAAGTCAGAGTCCATTAAGGCTCATCTTTAATGCACTGGGACTCCTGGTGGAGTTGAGGAGGAAGAGAGAAGGGAAGGAGGTTGGAGACAGAGATGGAGCCACACGCACCCCGGGGGATGAGAACATGCAGGTGTGAGGCCAGCCAGGACTCATCAGTGAAAGGTGGAAATGTGTTCAGATGATTGCATTTATTACACTTATCTATTTGAAAGAGTTATAGTGAGAGAGATAAGGAGAGGCAGAACACACTTCCATCTGCTGATTTACTCCCCAGATTCCTGTAGCAGCTAGAGCTGGATCAGGCGGAAGCCAGAAGCCAGGAGCTTCTTCCTCTTCTCCCAGATGGGTGCAGGGGCTCAAAGACCGAGTTATTTTCTGCCGCTTTCCCAGGCACATTAGCAGGAAGCTGGATTGAAAGTGGCACTGCCGGGACTTGAACTGGCACCCAGGTAAGATGCCACAGGCAGAGGCTTTACCCTCCATGCCACAGGTCCCCAAGTGGCATCTTAAATGCTGTGCCAAATGCCTGCCTCCAGGGCCTGGCACAGTGGCATAGCGACTAAAGTCTTCGACTTGTGCATGCCCGGGATCTCATATGGGCGCCGATTCAAATCCTGGTGGTCCCACTTCCCATCCAGCTCCCTGCTTGTGGCCTGGGAAAGCAGTCGAGGACGGCCCAAAGCCTTGGGACCCTGCACTCGCATTGGAGTCTTGGAAGCTCGGGCTCCTGGCTTCGCATTGGTTTAACTCCAACTGTTGCTGCTGCTTGGGGAGTGAACCAGTGGATGGAAGATCTTTCTCTCTGTTTCTCCTCCTCTCTGTATATCTGATTTTCCAATATAAGTAAACAAATCTTAAAAAAAAAAAAAAGAAAACAAAACCCAACGCCTACCTCCATTTCTGCTTCCAGAGAGAGTGTGTTATCAACCAGTGTTCATGATTTGGAAACTCATTCCATCCAAATGCCCTCACTCTCAGCTGCATTCTCAGTTGGGCATCCAGAGCGCTGAGACTGGGTTGGGGGCAGGACACAGAATCTCAGATGTCACCCATGGTGTGGCCTGTGTCGCTGCTCTCAGAGATTCTTTTGTCTGTTTAATTTCCTCCATCGGGCAGAGATGAAATCATACTTAAGTGGGTTGCATTTCAATCCCTTTTCTCCTTGGGGACAGACAGGGCACCCACATGAAAACAGGCTGGCCAGGAGTGTACTGCAACAGACTGTCTTATCTGGGAGGCCTCTCCCATGGGACCCCAGGGCCTGCCATGGGCATGACTGCACTCAGGACACTCCCACTCACGGGAGCAGGTGGGTTCAGAATGAGGGGCAATTTTTGGCTAGATGGCACAAATGCTTCCCCATAAAAGCCTTGAGAATGGCAGGGTGAGCCCCCGCCCCTTTCTGTATGTAAAAGCCTGTGTTTGGAACGCCCCTTTAGACATCGCTGATGCAGAAGCCTTCTGAAATGGCAGAACCAGAAGCCCCAGGCCCTACTGCACACCTGGTAAACTTCCAGTGGACCCTTGGGTGTCTCTGTTGGGGCCTGGGTTCCTCCCATTATTCCCACCCAGCTCCCTCTGACTGGGGTGCTCCCAATTCTCCAGGGACCCCCTTTCCTGCCCAGTGTGATGACCACCCCCTAGCCACCCGGGGTCGCTTGGAGGTGGCCGTGACCATGCGTCTGTGATCCAGAGAAGGGGCCAGCGTCTGACCTAGTTTATAGTGCCCTGCGACCTGCGTAGGGTGACGAAGCCAGTCTGATGACAGTTCAAGTGGGTGGAGGGGATGGGGCAGGACAGCAGTTGACAAATCCTTCCTGGAAATGTGAGTGGGTGGGTGGCAGGTGGGTGGGGAAGGGAGTGGAACCAAATGGAAAGAAGCACTGGTTGGAATGGCTTCTCCCTGCCTCTGGGGGCAGGAGGGCTGGGAAAGTGTCACTGTTCTCTTGCTTTGTGGGGATGGTGAGTGTGGTGTGTGCCGTGCCCGGGCCAGAAGCCTGGCACCCAGACCCTTCCTGCCGGTGAGGGCGGCTGCCCTCACCGCCTACTGCCCTGCTCTGTCTGTAGCCTTCGCTGCCTGCTGCCAGCTCGGCTGCAGCAGTGGAATCAGCGCTGCCCCACCGTCTGACCTGCGCTGTGGACGTCATGTGGAATGCCGCAGGCCCATGCTGCTATTTTAGGATCTGCTGGCCTTGGATGGTGTTTGAATGACGCCTAAGTTTTCCTAGTGAGGCTCCAGGACAGGTCTGGGTCTGGCTGTTTCCTGAGACAGGAAGGCGCAGCGGGGGCGGGTAGCGCACCCGGATGTGAGTTCCTGCAGGGGGACCACCCTGTTGGAGCCCTGGGAGGCGCATCAGCTGGTTTTGGGGGTGAACTGGAGCTGTTGGCCAGGGCCCAGGACACTTCTGTCCTGATCTGTAGATTCCGTCGCTCTGGGCTGCCGTCTGCCTCCCCCTGTGTCCATCGAACCTCCCCTCTCTCAAATGCTCACCTGGTCACCTCACAGTCGTTCTCGCACCTCCACAGTGAGCCATGTGCAGGCTGCTGGCAGGGTTTTGGTTGCCACACTGCGGAAGTACAGACGGGCAGGCAGGTGTGCGGGCACCATTGGTTAAGCTGCTGCTTGGACACCCACACCCTGTAGCTGAATGCTTGGTTCAAGTTCCTCAGTCTTAACTTCCTGCTGCTGTGTACCAGGGGAGGAGGCAGCTGGGTTCAAGGACCTGAACCCCTGCTGTGCAGGTGTGGGCTATGGGCAGAGCCTGGCCCAACCCCAGCTGATATAGGCATTTAAAGAGTCAACCAGAGGTTCAAAAGAGATCTCTGTCTCTTTGTCTCTCTCTGTCTTCCAAGTAAATGAAAATGAACTATTTTTTTAAAATACAAGTGGAGTTAACAATGTCTTTTACTTAGATATGTAACTAGAGTGATTTCAACATATCAGTATATTTTACATTAGTTTATTATGTTTTCAAAATCCAGGACATATTTTTACACTTTGTATATCTGAAGGCAGTGGGGAGACAGATCTCTCATCCACTTCCTAAAGGCTGGCAACAGTCGGGGATGGACCAGGCTGAAGCCAGGGGCAGGGGACTCGGTCCAGGGCTCCCATGTGGGTGACAAGGGAGGCAGTTTAAATAAAGTGAGTGCTTCCTCAGGGGTCCCCGGTCCTCACTGCAGCCACTGCTGCTTCCATCCAGTTTTGGAACGAGGGGCAGCTGGGCGGGAGGAGGCACGGGCCTGCCCTCGGAGCCCCGGGCTCCCTGATCCTTCTGAGGCTGCCGCCGCCTGGGCCCTGCCTGCCGGGAAAAACACCTCACAAAGGAGGCTCTGTGTTGGCCCCAGCTGCCCGTGCTGCTGCTCCAGGGCCGCGGCAGGAGCGCATGGGGGTGTGGCGGGTGGGCGGGCAGGCAGCGGTCCTGCGCAGGGTTTGGTGAAGGGGGAGCTTTTTTCTGCTGCTACAAGAGAAGATGGACATCCAGCCATAACTGGCAGTTGGCTTCCGGAATGGGAACTGGGATGTCTGCATGCTGACTTATAAGAGTGTGCCTTTGGGACCCCCAGCAGGGTGGGCATCAGCTGAGTGTACCTGTCCTCCAGGAAGCAGGGACAGCACCCTCCTACCCTCTTCCAGACTTGGTATCTCCCTCCCCCTAGGATAGCCCCTTCCTGGGCTGTGGCGCCGAGTCTGCCTGTGTCTGGCCATGATATATGAGGGATGCTCCCAAAACATGAAAGAATCAGGAGCTACGTGGGAGATGGGTTTAGTGGTTCGGACACTGCATGCCAGCTGTGCTCCCAACTCCAGTGCTAGGGTCTGGAAAGCAACAGGGTGTGGGTGCTGGTGGTAGAGCCCCTGCCAGCCACTGAGCAGGCCCAGGAGTTCCTGACCCTGGGCTTCAGCCTTGCCCATCCCAGCCTCAGCTGGTCTAAGCACTGCTGGAATGAACCAGCAAGCGTCTTAGGCAGTCTCCACACACAAAAAAATCTGTATGCACAAGTGATCTTCAAAACATTTGTGGAAAATGTATTATGGAAAAGGTATGCTTGAATTTTGTTGCTTTTGTCTTGTTTATTTTCTAAAAGATTTGTTTATTTTCTTTTTCTTTCTTTCTTAATTTATTTTTATTGCAGTCAGATATACAGAGGAAGATCTTCCTCTCTGTATCTCCTCCTCTCTGTATATCTGCCTTTCCAATAAAAATAAATAAATCTTAAAAAAAAAAGAAAGAAGGAAAGAAAAGGAAAGATCCCACTGGTGCCGGAGGTGAGTGTGGCTGTCAGAGGCGTGGTTTAAGGTGGGAGGCTACAACTGCTGGCTGTGCTTCCTGCCCCCATCCTGGTTCTGGATGGTTTCCGGGCATCATCTCTTGCCTGTTGGTATTCAGGAATTCCCTCCCGAAGCTGATAGTTCTTGGGTCTCAAGGTGGAGGGCCGTTTCCTCTAGTTCTCCCCCTGTCAGTGGATGGAGATGGATGGGGGAGAACAATGCAGGTAGGCTTGAGCGTGTTCCTTACCCAGTGTCTTCTGTTTCCATTTCAGGCACAATGTCGGTTCCAGGACCTTACCAGGCAGCGGCAGGGCCTTCCGCAGTGCCCACCGCGCCGCCCTCCTATGAAGAGACAGTGGCCGTGAACAGTTACTACCCCACGCCTCCCGCACCTGCACCGGTGCCAGGGCCCACTACAGGACTTATTGCAGGCCCGGATGGGAAGGGCATGAATCCCCCTTCGTACTACACCCAGCCAATTGCACAGCCGTTGCCTGTCCCCAATGCCAATGCAAGTACGTGTCACCTCTCAGATCCCAGCCTGGACCTCCTTACCCAAAAATGCAAGTGAGAGGCAGGAACTAAGAGAGACAGTGCTGCTGGCATCTGCTATTTTCACTCTGAAAATACCCGTAAGCAGCCGGGGCTGGGCCAGGCCAAAGCTAGGAGCTGGAAAAAAAAATCAGTCGGGGTCTCTCACGTGCCTGTCTGGGACCTGAATCCTTGACTCCTTGCCCGGGTGCTCATGAGGAGGACGCTGGAGCTGGGAGCCGAGCCAGGACTGGAACCAGGGCTGTGGCATAAGGGAGGCAGGTGCCCACCCCTGCCTGGTCTTTTAGGTTCCACATTGGAGGAGACTGGTGGTCTCTGCCAAGCAGGCACCCAGGCCTTTCCACAGAGGGACAACTGTTTGCCTGAGGAATTTGAGGGGACGAGCTTGTGCTTCCAGGGCCCCCTTCCTGCTGAGGTTTGGTGCAAAAGGTCAGGAGCAAAGAGACAGCCCTGAATGAGAAATGTGAAGGGGAGGGCAGCGTCTCAGTGCAGGCCACCTCCCTACCCCTGGGTGATCTCCAGGTCCCTGCGCTCCAGGAAGGATTTGAGTTCATTTCTCACTTGCAAAGAGAGCCTGCCAGACTGACGTGGGTTCCCATAGCATCCCATGCCTCAGCGTGCTCATTTATGAAGTGAGCCCCATCATTACCTGCATGCTGTGGGCGATGATGACATACAGGCCAAGTTCTGGCTTGGCGGTTAGGGTGCTGAGAAGGACGCCCACATCCCACCTCCCCTTTCCGAGCGCCCGGGTTCGAGTGCCGGCTCCTTCACTTTAATCCAGCTTCCCGCTAACACACTCTGGTGGCTTAAGCATCGGGGGTCCCTGCCCTCCCACATGGGAAACCTGGATTGTGTTCAGGATCTCTTGTTTTCTTCCTGGCCTGTTAATGGGGAGTGAACCGGCTTATGCAAGATATCTCTCTCCTTCAGGTGAAGTGAAAGTGCCCTATACTTCCTGGCCTGATTTACACTGCCCTTGGCCTGTGGCATCAGGGGGTCTTCAGGGAGCCCCATGGAGAGCTGGGGGATCCTTGCTCTAAGCCTGTTCACTTCCATTATTTAAAAATAATAATAATTTTAAAAAAAGTTTGCTTAGATATGAAGATATTTCAGAAAGTTCCTGAAGGGGTGGGCAGTTAGCCTAAGCGTCCCATGACAGGGTGCTTGGATTTGACGCTGGCTCTGCATCTAACCCAGCTTCTTGCTGGTGCACATCCTGGGAGGCAGTGGTGCTGGTTCAGTCTCCTAAAGGCTGCAGCAGCCCTATTGGGACCAGGCCTGGAGCCAAGAACTCCCATGTGGGTGCAGGTGCCCAAGCACGTGGGCCATCTGCTGCTTTCCCAGGTGCGTTAGCAGGGAGCTGGATGGCAAGTGGAGTAGTCAGGACGCAAGCAGCACTCACATGCGATACCAGTGTTGTAGGTCGCGTTGATGTGCCCCAGTGCTGGCCGCTTATCTCAATTCGTTTTGCAAAGGAAGCTTGAGTCCCTGCTGAGGAATGGCCGGGATCCATGTTCTTTGGCTCCCATGTGGATCTGTGGACATGAGCTTGGAACACATTGCCTGTCAGAGTCCTCAGAGTCACGCAGTCCTTCCCCTGTGTCCTGTGTAGGGGTGTCCAGGGCCCTTCGAGCCTTCTGGACATCTGCTACTGCTGTCTGCTCTTCCGCTGCAGTCTTTTTTGTTTGTCTGTTTATGTTTTTGACTTTGATATAATACACACACATCCGTTTGAGGCCTGATTCTGAGGCACCCTCACCTGTTGTCTTCCCGAGGTGACACTCTGTCCCTGGCCATGAACTTGGCTACTCCATGGGGAGCTGCTCAGGACAGAATCCCACAGTCTGCCACCTGCGCAGTGCAGGTGGGGCTCTGTGGTCGGGAGAGACCTGGGCGGCTTGGCAGGCTGTGCTGAGGGAGCCCACCAGCGCCGTGCCTGCCCTGCGTCCCCGCCCTGCGTCCCCTGACCCCTCGGCCCACTGTCTTCCCTCTGCAGTTGCCGTGCAGACCGTCTACGTCCAGCAGCCCGTCTCCTTTTACGACCGTCCCGTCCAGATGTGCTGCCCATCCTGCAGCAAGATGATCGTGACGCAGCTGTCCTATAACGCCGGTGCCCTCACCTGGCTCTCGTGTGGGAGCCTCTGCCTGCTGGGGTGAGTTGGCCGTGGACCCTCTGGGTCTGTCTCTGGGAACGGTGTGGCTGTTATACTGCCACCAGCGCTCGGGGCTGGGATTGACTGCTTCCTTATGGCTTCAGGGAGTTGCACCTCCACCCACTGGACGGCAGCCACTGGCCCCTTACCCCCAGAGTGGGAGCTGAAGGCGCCCCCTCCCCGCACTGTGTCCCTGTCTGAGAGCCGCTGCCCCAGATCTCCAAGAGTCCCTCAGTTCTCATGCCTGTAGCTGAGGCTGTGGGAGGTTTTTTTGACCTCGGTCACACTGTAGCATTTTATGGAAATTTCTTCCAGACTGCTCTAGCCTGTTAGGGCCTCAGGCATTTTCCTCATTGCCAATGCAGAAGGATTATCTAAATATTTATGTCTGCACCAGAATTATTATATTTAAAGAGATAATAGTTTCAGTTCTGGATGAGAGATTTGAAGAAACGCAATTGAATTTTTTCTTTTCCTTTTCAACCCTCAAGTAGGTAGAACGTGTCAACTTCCTTGTTCCTGGCCCTGTGAGCCCCAGAGAAACTTTTTTTTTTCTTGGAGGAGAAAAAAAAAATTTAAGACTTTATTTGGAAAGCAGAATTACATAGAGAGAGAAGGGGAGAGACAAAGAGAAGATGGTTCGTTCGCTGGCTCCCTCTTCAAATGTCTACAGCAGCTGGGCCAGGCCAGGAACTTGAAGCTCTGTCAGGGTCTCCCATGGGGATGCCGGGCCCAGGGATCGGGGGAGCTGGAGCAGCTGGGACTTGAACTGGCAACTCTGGGTGTCGGTATCACAGGTGGGCCTTAACATGCTATACCACAGCACTGCTCCCAGAACTGATGGTTGCTATGCTCTTCTGGGAGCCTCCACTCTTAGCCGGCCCTCCCCTCCCAGCCCGCTGCTTAGCACTTGTGGTTGAGAAGGGGCATTTCTGTGTCAGAGAACTTCGTGAGGTCATGGGTCCGTGTGGAAGAAAGGAAGCTAGGCGGGTCTTCTGGCCCGTGAGACTGCACTGTTGGCTGTTGCTTTCATGCTAAATGGAAGTTCATCATGTTTGATATATGTAAACCAGCTGACACACACAACCAACTGACACACGTGTGTATATACGTGAATGTGTGTGTATATATACATTTAAGATTTTACTATTTATTTACCGATTTATTTGAAATGCAGAATATCAGAGAAAGATTTTCCATATGTTGGTTCACTCCACAAATGGTGTGGTTGGGCCAGGCTGAAGCCAGCAGCCGGGAACTCCATCCTGGCCTTCCAAGGACCTAAGCACTTGGGCTGTCATCAGCTGCCTTGCCAGGCACGTGAGCAGGGAGCTGGATCGGAAGCGGAGCAGCGGGACTTGACCTGGTGCGCTGCAGCTTCACTTGCTGCACGCTCAGCACCGGCCTTTGACGTGGGTTTCGGACTCAGAAGTCAGAATAGAAGCATGCATGGAGTGTCATCTCGGATGATCTGGCTTTTCAAATGCAGAACACCTTTCTGCCTCTGCTCTGTCCTTAAATGTAGAAAAATGAATTCAGAATCTTCTTCTTGCTAGTTGTATGGCTTTGAGCAAGTGACTTCACTTCTCTGAGCTCGAGTTTTCTCATCGGTCAACTCGGAGGCCAAAGGTGGTGCTGAGTGTGAGATGAGTCAGTGTGTTAGGGATGTGTGGTCCAGCAGGTAAGACGCCTGGGACGCCTGTGTCTGGATCCGCTCCTGAAGGTCACTTTCTGCGAATACACATCTTGGCAGGCAGCTCCATGTGATGGCTGAAGTACTGGGGGGCCCTGGATTGAATCCCCAGCTCTCAGCTTCAGGACAGCCCAGGCAGGCATATGGGAAGTGAACCAACGGATGAGGGCTCCACACGTGTGTCTGTCTGTCTTGAGGGAATAAAAGCAGTAGAAGGGTGAGCAGCATTTGTGGTACAGCAAGTTAAGCGACTGAGACACCTGCATCCCACATTGGGGGATTTTGCTCGAGTCCCAGCAACTCTGCGCTTCAGATCCATCTTCCTGCTGATGTGGCAGGGAAGGCAGCAGATGATGGCTAAAGGACACGGGAGACCACAGCGGCGCTTCCGGCTCTGATCCAGCACTGGCCACTGCGGGCCTTTGGGGAGTGAGCCAGCATGCGGAGGAACTCTGTGCCATTCTGCTTTTCAGATAAAGAAATAGATAATTTTTTACTTTATGTTTTTAAAAGATATATTTTAAAGAAGAGTTAGAGAGGGAGAGAGATCTTCTATTTGTTGGTTGGCTAGGGCCGGAACAGGCAGAAACCAGGAGCCAGGTGCTTCTTCCAGGTCTCTCACATGGTGTAGGTGCAGGGCCCAAACTCCTGGATCGTCTTCCACTGCTTTCCCAGGTCATAAGCAGACAGCTGGATTGGAAACCAAGTAGCATCTATGTAAGACGCTGGCATTACAGTCAGATGCTTAATCCACTACCACAATGCTGGCCCCATAAATAAATCTAAAAAATAAAAAGTTCACCAATCCCCAGCTGAGGACCTCTGGTAACCCCAGACCTGAGCATGCACCTGAGACAGTTTGCAAAGGCTTTAGCCTTGGCTGGCGTGTCATTTCCTACAGCCGCTGTATTGACCACAAGCATCAGACATGTACTCCCGAGCGTGGAGACCAGATGTCCAGGTTCAGGGTGTTGTCAGGGCCACACTCCTGCTGGGGGCACCTGCAAGCATCCTCTGGGTAGACCTGTCCTGTTTGTGGGTACTGGCGGTGGGTGCGTGAGTGTTGCTCTGCCCCCTTCTCCCCGCCAGGCTCCTGCAACAGGTGGCAAGTTCACGTGGCTCTTTCTGTCCCCGCAGGTGCATCGCCGGCTGTTGCCTCATCCCCTTCTGTGTGGATGCGCTGCAGGATGTGGACCACTACTGCCCCAACTGCAAGGCCCTCCTGGGCACCTACAAGCGCTTGTAGGCCTTGGCTCGGCAAGCTCGGAGCTGCGTTCTGCAAAACCTCCTGGCTGGTGCTCACCCAGCCCGCTGTCCCCTTGTGGGCTCATCTCTGGGGAAGTTGGGGGTTGTCCCATCTGTGTGTCTTCTTGTTTTGGGGTGGGGGGAATATTTCGCAAAAGTAACAAACTTCCAGAATCCCAGGGATTGCTGCTTGGAGACCTGCCCGGGATGTGCAGGGACGGGTCGAGCAGCTCCCCGTGTCACACCACTCATGACAGCTTCCCCACCCACTGAGTGTCTTCCGGTGCTGTCACCACCACCACTGGCCCCCTCCTTTTCCTGCCGGTGGGCTGGAGCATTTCTGGGGGACAGTCCACCCGAGAAGCCTCAGGTTGCCTTATTCTTGAGACTGTATTTTCCTGAACTTGACGGGACCAGCCTTGAGTGCCTGCCGTCTGTCCTTCCCCCACCACCCCGATGACAAAAAAGAAATCTTGCCTTACAGACTTTACGGGGCTTGCGTCTTCGGTTCTGTGACAGCAGGCTGCACTCACACAAAAGCCCCCTCGGAGTCCGTGAGCCCCCCGAAGCTCACGGAGGGGCCGGCGGCAGCCACGGTCTCCGTGCTGACTGACGGCTTTCTGGTTGTCAGAATGTTTGAGCACAAATTTTGAATCATTTTCCTTGTGTTAGTGGCGAGTGTCGTCTTCCTGTTGGCCCATGTGTGTTCCGTTGTGTGTTGCGCCACAGCTAGAGATTTCACTTGCTGCCTTCACCGGCTGCGGGATCCGGGGGAGTATGATTCTTAAAAGCCTCTTGCCAGCAGCGCGAGCCTAGAGAGGAGGGAACGGCCCCTCGCGTGGAGGTGCCACGGTGCTGGAGCAGAACCTGCCCCGAGGCAGTGAAAACTCCGACATTCTTTTTTCAGAGATGGAGTTTGTTGCTGAGCGTCACACAGCATGGTTCCCAAGACTCGGGCAGCAGGCCCCGGGGTCCAGATCTGCTACTGTCATCTCTAAAATCAAGATAATATCTTCACTCGTGCCTTCCCAGAGGCACAACGAACTTCTGCACAGATCACAACTGTCCTTGAAGAAAAATCCTATAGATTGGTTGAAAATGATTGCAATAACTGTTGATTCAGCTGATGCTTTGAGAAATCTGATGTTTTTGGAAGAACACCAGTCATTTTTGGGATGAGTCCCTGACACTAGGTAGTCCTCCAGTGTTACCTGCTTTAAAGAAAATAAAGCATTCAGTCATGTCACTGATCTGTTCATGCCTTGCTACAGTGTAGAGAAAACGAGGTTGACTCTCTTGTCGGTGGAAAACCCTCCCCAGTAGCGATCCTGGGCCTGCTGTGTGTGCCACTATGTCGCAATGGCGCATGCCACGTGCTGTGGGCTGCTAACGAGCAGGATCCCAGCCTGAGGCTGCTGGGGGTGGGGGATGTCCGTGATGGCAGGGGGTGGCAGGGAGCCATGGCCTTCGAGCTGTAAGAAAACGTAACACCAGGAGAAAGCCATCCTCCTTTCTTGGCACAAGATGTAAGTCCCCGCCACCCCTCCCCTGCCCACTTGGTCATCCAGCTGCCTCGGTGTGGCTCACGTGGTCGGGGATGTCCTTGCACTAGGATCTTAGGGGCAGCACCGCTCTCAGGGTTTTTCTTTTCATTTGATAAAATTCAAGACTGCACACTTGGTCAGTCTTACAGGGCAGCGTGGATGGGTTTTGAGCTGTTAATTACATGTGCAAGTCCCGTTCCCAGGGACAGCAGTGTTCCTGTTACCCGGGCTTCAGTGTCAGGTGCTGGGGCATGCCATGCGTTCATGAGACACTCCGTCGTGCTGGTCAAAGGCAGGCACCAACACGTGTGTTCTGTACCGTCACGGCTTGCTGGAGCCTCCCAACACTGGCTCCCCTTCAACTGGTGAACGGGATTTAGCCCAGCTACTGTGACCTCAAAGGGGGGTTTGTAACAATTTCAAACCATGAGCCACTATGCATCTATTTTTGATAGCAAGATAAAACATCTTTTAATTGCATTTTTTCTTGAAGTGCTGAGCTGGGTCTATGAGCAGTGTCAGCATGCAGAGTTTTATTGCTGATGGGAGAGAAGCCACAGCACTCGGTATGGGTGCTGCAGGGTCCTGGGACGCAGCAACAGGTAGAAGGGCCACTTGCTTGTGGGGCTGAGTCTGTAATGTCTCCAACTTCCCTGCCTGGCAAGAATTTTAAGGAAGAGTTTCTCCAAGGGAAGTTGCTGAGGTTATCACAGGTTAACACAGGGGACATCATCTGCAGCCTGGGAGCGCTCCACTCCTGTACTTCACCCCCAGGCCCCTTCAAATACACATGCCCAGGCCCCTTGTCTGGAGACAAATTCAGAAGGCCCGAGAGGGGGAGCCCAGGAACATGCATTTTGGAAATATTCCCCAAGGAGTCCCTGCCCAGCCCTGCAGTCGGTGAACCAACGGGTGGGAGATCTCTCTTCCTCTGCTCCTGTTGTTCTGGCTTTGGAATTAATACTTTTTTTTTTTTTTTTTTTTAAAGATGTAGAACAACTTATCTCATAAAGAAACCTAGCTTTAGAGAACACTGCTCTCTAGACCTTTTTTTGTGAAGAACTGAGATAACAAACGAACGAAGATAATCAATACAACAGGTGAAGGACAAGTGAAGAGGTATCCTACATAAGGCCAAACAACATTCATTCAAAGTCTGGGGAGGGGGGCAATGCCCATCCTCATCAATAGGAAATAGGTTTTTATACAAACAGTATCAAAAGAAAAGTAACACACTAAATCCACACTGGGGCAGCCAAGTCCACAGCCTGTTATGATGATAGTCCTTCCAGCAGCAATCATTTCATTTCAACTGTTATCTCAAATTATTACAACGGTGACTTATAAATCTCCCAGGCGGTGGCAGCTTCAATCGTTGCGCAGGTCTGTCCTGCCCATTAGCATCCAACTCGCATCCAGTGTCCTTTAGTTTTGACATTAATGCATCCATGTTGTCCACTGCTCCTTCGTCACACAGCAGTAAGGCACCCTCCCTCGCCATCGGCCTCTGCCTCGCGCCATACCCCCTCTCCCCGACCTATCAACCCGACCCTACACAGATCCCGCCACACCCATACTCCACGCCCTAGGCCCTCCCCCTCTCCCAGACCTCCACGACCTCGAACACCACCTCCTTCTTAACCCATCGGACTACGTCCCGTCCACCTCGGCAGTTTTGACCTCGAGCGACCATCCCCCCCCTAGGGGAAGACGGTTCTTGCAATCCCCCCTGTCCTCCTCTGGCAAGCCTCTCTGAAATTAGGCAGCCCTCACCACCGATTGCTCCCCTGCCAGGCCCCTATGGTCCCTATCCGTGCCTAGTTACTCTTACCCAGGCCTGTTTTTGCTTTAATCTCTTTCTGCTTAAGTTTTAAAGCTCCTGGACAGATGGTCTATTCTCCCATCTGCTGGCCATCTTCTGTTTCTGGCACTGCTAGCTGCTGTTTGCTGCATCGAACCCAAAAAAAATAGTCACGCACGCTGTTTGATCTTCACCTTTAGTAAACGCCTCATTAAAACATCTTGGGGTGCTCTTCAGTCACAACTTTTCGCGCTCCTTGCCAGCCATCTTCAAATCCCGTAATCGAAAGAAACGACGCCAGGGCCTCCTCTCGTCGCCAACCCCCGCGCTGCTGGCAGGCCCGACCCCGCTCAGGAGAACGGCCTGGCTCCGAGCCGCTACTTGCGTATCAATCGTGAAAGCAGCAGACTTCGGACTATCCCTGATGCTGCTGCTTTCAGTTGCCGACTTTTTTCTCTCCCGCCTGCCCTTTCCGCCTGCGTGCGGCCTCCACAGCTGCAGCCGCCAACTCCTGCTCGCTCTCCAAAACAAAATGGCCGCCCTGGAATTAATACTTTTTTAAAAAAATTATTCTTATTGGAAAGTCAGATTTACAGAGAGAAAGAGCTTGACTCCCCAAGTGGTTGCAATGGTCAGAGCTGAGCCAGTCAGGAGCCAGGAGCTTCTGGTTCTCCCATGTGGGTGCCGGGTCCCAAGTCCAGGCTCTCCTGGACTGCTTTCCCAGGCCACAGGCAGGGAGCTGGATGGGAAGTGGCACAGCCAGGACAGGGACACTTCAAAAAATTAATCTCACATATTCATTCTGTTTACTCATTTATCTGTTGTCTCTTTGGTGCTTTTCAATTTATTTTGAAGTCAGCTCCCAATTGCTGGTTTACTTTTAAACTGCTTACCATGACCGTGGGCCAACCAGGAGCTGGACACCTGGTGGAGTCCTCTCAGCCTGACTCCCAGGGTCTGTGTTAGCAGGAAGCTGGGACCCAGGTACAGCATGTTCTAATTGCTTGAGCCAAACGCCTGCCCTTCTTCTAAAAAAGTTATGATTGCCCCTCGTATAAAATAGCCATGTTCCCTTTGTCAGGAAAATACCCAACCACTCATTTTCTCTAAAATCACTTCTGTAGCTGACCTGGTTAAGAACTGTGGAAGACCTAGGGACTGTTGGCGAAGGACTTGTCAGGCTGTGTAGGTTGCACCTGGTCCTGCCCCGCTCCTGGGCCAGGTGAAAGCCATGGACCATCTGCTCCCCACAGGCTAGGGATCACACAGCTGAATCAGGCTCCTGCTTTAAAGCCCACGGGCAACTTGCTGGCTGAGCTTGGGCGAGTGCAGGGGCTTTTGGTGGGCTTTGGGGTGAGTTGCTCTCCTGTGGAAAACGGCACTCCCTCGGGAGCTGAGGTCAAGGACCTGGTCAGCCGCTGTCCTTGTTCCCTGCACGGCTGTCTCCCCAGCTCCAGTGCCTTCTGGCCTACTGGGGCCTGGGTGGGGTTTTCTTCATCTGCTTCGTTTGGGGTGGAGCGAAGGCAGAGTCCATTACGTTTTCATCCTTGGCGGCCATTCTTCCTGGGCCCATAAACCTGCCAGGTGCCTTTTTGGGCGACAGCAAGACACGCCTGGCCTAATCTGGAAGATTCACCAGACCCTGGACCCTGAAAAGGTATGAGTGAGGCTCCTGCTGGCAAACGGAGGGGGGCTGCTTGGGGTTCTGCCTCCTGTTGACCTGGGGCAGGCGGGTCAGGGACTGGAGCCTTCC